GGAGCACATCCACCCCCTCTCCACCCAGCTAGGGGCTGCGAACGAGCACTCGCCAGAAACCCAGCGCAGCCACCTCCACTTGTTACCTACCAACCTACCAACCTACTGTGTGTACCAGTAGCTACCGGGTACGTGTACCCCCCCTTGCCCCCCACCTCATAACTACCACCCCAGTGTTAGCAAATGGTGCCAACTACACTATGGCTCTGTCCACTCCGAATTATGCACAAAGTATCTACCCACCACGTGTGTCCAGTCTATAGTGTTGGCAATGGCTGGTAACACTGTACGTATAATCATAGCGAAGCTAACTGGCGGTGACCGTAGAGAGGGGCGGGCGGCGTTACCAGCCACCCTTACGATAATAATGCACTTTAGAAACAGCAGCTGGTAAAACTTGCCGGCACTCGACGAACTTAATAAACGTGAATCTCTCGTCGTTCAAGTTTCCAAAACTGTTTCGCGTTTATCGACAGTAAATTTGTTCGAGCATTCGCAGCCCCTTCGTCTCCCTCGTCATCCCGGCGAATCGCCGTTTCCTCCTGCCCCCTCAGCCATTTGATTCTCACGAGACAGAGTGGAACGAGTAGAAATGGAAAAAATTATTTTAACAATAATTTTCACCCTCGTAAGTCCCTTCTCTGGCGATACTTCTTACGGCACTGCTTGGGGGCTTTAAGTCGCGTAACGTGCATAGGATAGCGTATGGGAGTTGCGTATAGGCGATTAGAAGACGGTTCGATTTGTCGCGCGAGTTTTAACGCGTCTGCCAAGTTTTTAGAGGCTTTAAAAAGTCGGGAGAGACCGTGACGAAAAATACATATATGCATGTAGAGTGTTGTTTTTATATCTGGCAGTATTATATGGCGCCTATAGGTATGCAGATTAAATATATATATATATATAGTAGGTTTTATCAGTAGGTCCATGGATGGGTCGAGCCTCTGGGGAGAGTGGATAAAAAAATTTAATTCCTTCCGGGAGAGTTAGTGCCCGAATACCGGCGTTTCCTGTTTCGACCGGAACTCTCCCCCTGCTTTCTTCCTCTTTCTCTTTTTGTTTTTTCTCATTCTTTCAGGACTTATTAAATGGGAACTAGCGGCGCCCCGGTGGCTGTTGGATCCCTTGGCTCTTGGTAAGCTTCCAAGCTCGGCGACGACCCCGAAGCAACCCCCCCTTGGCCTCTGAGCGTTAAGGCGCGTACACACCGAGGACTCCCTACTTGTGAGTGTATCATTTGTAATCCACCCGTCGTGTTGGTTAGAGGGGATGAAAGATTTTTTTGCGAAGACACCCTCGGGACGTGACCTTGGAAAACTATAGGAAGCTAAGGAGTTTCTGTACCACCCTATATACTTTAGAGACGTTAAATTATAATATATTGGGCGTATTTAGATTGAGTTTAAATAGTCGGAAACTGTATAGCGCTTAAAGGTACGAGTAGCCCTTTGCCTTGAGAGAAGCTTTATTTTATCTCGCCCGACTCAAG